GTTTTTTTACGGAGAGATACAGAAATTCATTCCTGCCAACAGCCATCACCGTGAAAAACAAATCTGACTGAATGATTATTGTTGTATAAAATATATGTTGTACAGATTTTTTTTTTTTAAAGTGAGCTTTTACAATATTGAATTTCCCTTCTGGGATAAATAAAGTATTTTTCAGTATATTATTGCTATTTTTGTGGCGGGTCGTGCTCGGTGGGCAGATCCACACCAAGGGGGAGACAGAAGGAAAGGTTTTGGTAAAACGGTTTTATTGTACATGAGGGGGAAAAGGGGTGAACCCGGTGATGGGATCCGGTGCAGGGATGAAGACTGTGGAGGGGGAGGAGAGGAGTCTTCGTACCGGGGTCCGAGGAGGAGGGTCCCAGGGGTGGTGAACGAGGAGCCGGTGCCCGTGAGTGCTGAGGTCCGTGGGGGTTTTTCCCGGTGCGGAGAGGGAACCGTGAAGGAGGAAACCAGGGAGGTGCTCAGGGGTCCGGTGCTCGTAGGAGGTGCTCTGGATGAAGGTGCCCGTGGTCGTGAGGTCCTGTGGTCGTGAGGTCCCGTGGGTGAGAAACGCTGGAGTGCCTGGAGGGATGCTGAGTGCTGGAGCTGAGGAGGAACACTGGAAGCAGGCAAAAACACATTAACCCGAGACTAGAGAATATCAAAATGCTAGAGATGCTCAGCTAGAAGCAGCAGCTAGCGGCCTGAAGATACCAGGAGGAAAGTATCACAGTCATCTGGCGTCGATCTTCTGTGAGCCGCCAGTATTTAAGCAGAGTGAGGCTGATGAGCCACAGCTGGCAGCCTGACAGTGTCCCTCCTGACCGGCTCATCAGCCTGCAGCAAACAGACACACACAGACACACAGAGACACACACCACCACCACACAGACACAGAGACAGAACCAAACAGACACACACCACCACCACACAGACACACACACACCACACAGACACACACCACCACACGCACACACACCACCACCACACGCACACACACCACCACCACACAGACACACAACCACACAGAGACACAGAGACAGAACCACACAGACACACACCACCAAACAGAGACACACCACCACCACACAGACACACAACCAAACAGACACACACCACCACCACACAGAGACACAACAGTCCCACAAACACAACACATCGTTCACAGCCCTCACAATTTTTCCATAATTCTACAAGAAATTATCTGTTAAATAACAAAATGTGGAAAATAACAGTAAAATTGTTCACAAAAAGCTAGAAGCACATTTATAGTATACTGTGGAAAAAAGTCTGAATCTGATTAGTTTTGCAAATGATAAATAAGCAGGCAGGTTTTACTCAGAGAGCAAAATGCAAAGAAGCCGCTTATTGCAAGGTTTGCTGTGAAACTGTCGTAAAGGATCAATCGGATATTTTGACATTTTCAGAACTGTGCGTTCCCAACAATGGACTGATGCTGCTGTCAGTGGCTCCAGTGAATAAAAGGCTTCTGCAACCAGCTAATTAAGCACAAAGCCCGAACTCTGAGGGAAACGTGATCCTGGTTCTGACTGACGGCGACTAAATGGACCAAGCAGCAGCTCAAATCTGTATTTCAGAGTTTTGCAGGGTCATGAACCCAACTAGTCCCCAACTGGAGTTTTGATTTTGCAGGGTGGCAACAGCTTCTAAAATCATACATTAGTATTTTTAATTATTAGCCAATTAATCCTCATTCATCGGCCAAGATAGATTCAATTAGATTAGATAGAACTTTACTGATCAGGAGGCACTTCTTCATGAATGTTCTTGAGCTTTCATTGGAAGAAAACCTGCATCCCAGCCGAGGTCCCACACGAGACAACTCAGGCACATTTTATTGCCTTTGGACCAGACGAGCTTGTAGTTTTTCTATGCTAAGCTAACCGGCTGCTAGCTGTAGCTTTGTATTTCTAGAACAGAGCAACATTCATCTGAAGCTTTCTGCATCTGAAAATGTCAAACTGTTGCTGAAAGTTTTCTGCACTTGTCCTGTGCAGTAAAATATTAAAATGAGAATTAAAAGCCTTAAAAACATTCCTTCATCAGACGCACCATGATGGGACAGATGAGTGTCTGTCAACACGAGGAACCATCAGCTGTAAAGAATCCACAGTGATGCTGTTGTACGGCACAGTTTGGGAGTTAAACCAGCTTCTGGAACATTTCAGTGGTTCGTTGAGCCAAGAGAAGAGAGAAACGTGTGCATTTGAATTATTCTGGCTGAACTGGGATGTTGGGATGAGACACAGCATGGGGATGGATTACAATCACGTCCTTCTGAATACGTTCTGTGTGGTTTAATGTTCTGTGACTGTCTCCCGGTGCTGCTGCTCTGCTGTCCCTCTTGTATCCTGCTCTTACCCTCCCTGCCTCTCCGGCTCGTCTCCGGGGCTTTAGCTGATTAGAGTGGCCCTGCTCGCTCTGATTAATTGGATGAGTCTCGTCTCGGTGCCAGTCTCCTCCTCTCTCCTCTGCTCACCTTTCATCTAAAACAAACGCGAGGCTTTCCCGTGGTGGCGGTGCGTGGGTGGAGAGGTTGCATGCTGCACCTACAGACCACAGCACACACAAGCTGCTGTACAGGTGACAAAATGTGTCAGATGACTTTCATTTACAACAAAAAGCCTCAAAACAAATAGAGTAATTTAGTGTTTTTCCTTCGACTGTCTGAGCTCTGCTGAGATTTATTCGTCCCAGGAGCTGCTTTGCATTGATTCTGCGTCTCGTTTGTCTTTTGGCTGCACCCTGCTAAAACCTGACTCCAGGAGAACTTGGAAGCGTCGCTCTCTGCTCACCCCGTTGCCCTCCACGACGCTCTGATTCGTCCTTCAGGCTTTGATGACAACAACAGCATCCCTTCATTCCTCTCCTCCCTGATTTCTCTCCGTCGTGGCCGTTCTGCCGTCTTTAAGTGAATTGAGCTTCAGAAAGCTCGTCCCTGGAAGGTCGTCTGCAGCCGCGGCTCTTTTTTATGTTTCCTGCTCTTTTGCTTCTTGTTTTTACGTTCAGTCTGCTGTGCCTGCAGCACACACAGACTCCAAATGACACAACGGCCAAGTGAGCGTTCGGCTGCGTTCTGTTGTTCCGTCTCTGGAGACGCGGCGCCGACCGGAGAGCCCTGAGGCCCGCCAAGGCCTCCTCACAAAAGCAATCGCACAAGCCGACTGCTGTGTTGTTTCCCTCCTTCCATTAGTTTTTACCAACCAGCCTGAGAGCCAGAGAAGCTGAGGAGTTGTTTTGAACCAGGGATGATGGACGATGAGGAGGAACAAGCGGCCCAATGACGCCACGAGGCCTCAGTCAGTGAAACGGCTGCATGATGAAGGGCTTGTATGGAGGCGCTACAGTAGACTGCTTGTTGCTGAGCAGCTGCTTTGTTCTGACTGCGTCCTGCCGGTTCTGGTGCTCGGGGCTTGTTTGCTCCATTTATGCACGTTCGTCTCTTTTAGATCCCATAAAGCAGAGATCATGCAGGAAGACTTCACTTTGAATAACTGTCTTGTTTCTGTATCGTTTGCTTTGTTGAGGCCATATTTTTTCTTGTAGTTTTGTTTCTTGAATACTAATATTTGAAGGTTCATTGCTTCAGTTAGCCGCCGACTGGACTCACTTTGACAGTAAACTAACTCTGAATGAGGAGGACTAATGTCGCCCAACTCGTCGACTACTGATGAGTTGTGAGTCTTTTTGCTAAGTTTTAACAGCTTCTACCACTCTCTGTTTCTCCTTTCATGTGACTTGTGTTGGTTTATTGTGTTACCATAAAATTCCTTATTAATTAAAATCCCAATCAAGTTCTGTTGTTGTCATCGGCTGGATATGAATCAGCTGATGTGCCACATCAACTTTATCAGGGGACAACATGTCACTGTTGTGTTTTTAGCTTGTCCTGCTGCTCCCAAGTGGACAAAATAATCAAGTGATGCAGTCAAAACGGATCAAAATAATGATTTTTCCCGTCAATAATCATTTCTAGTCGTCCATTAGTTCTTTTCTTCCGCAGCACTCAGCCTTCAGTCGGCTGCTTTCTGGAGTTAAATACAGCCGAGACGCTGATGGTCCTTCTCCTCCGGGCTCTAGTGTTCTGAAGTGACCCATTAATCATGTGCTGAGTGATTGAGTCGGGTTCTGCTAAGACACAGAGAAAGTCCCGGCCCGAGAGCGACTCGGTCTGCCAGCGACAGCGTTGCATAATGAGGGCTAATGGGTCGGGGAGCCTGACATACCTGTCCGGTCCGCTCGCATTAGGATGGACGGAGAGCTGCAGGGCTGCCGCCTTCTGAACTCTGTGTGTGTGTGTGTGTGTGTGTGTGTGTGTGTGTGTGTGTGAGTGTGTGTGTGTGTGTGTGTGTGTGTGTGGATGTCTAAAGCGATGTCATCACACTGCCAGTTTGCTCTACCATATAAGATGAAACTGTATTAATCCCAAAGGAAAGTCTTGTGCAAGATATTTCTCAGAAAAAACAAAGTGACACAAGGTAGGAAATGCCTAGAAAGTAGAAAAGCAATAAGCTGTGAGCACGAAACAATACTGAAATAAAATAAGAAGGTAAAACAAGGCGGTAGGAAGTAATGCTGGCTGGATACCTCAACTCAACTCAACTCAAACTTTATTTATAGAGCACATTTAAAACAACCGGGGTTGACCAAAGTGCTGTACAGAATGAAAGCAGCATGGAACCGATACCGAGGTAACGAGTAACATCACACATGATCACAGGATGAAATATTGCAGCTGAATGAAATGAGAATGAAATGCTGTACATGATACAGAAACTCAAACTGATGAGAAGTATTATTGCAAATGTTCTGATTGTTTACATCTAAGAGGTTTCAGCTGTCTTTGCTGCAGAAAGTGCAGGAGGTTGATGTCCACTAGCAGACCAGACCCCCTGTGGTCTCAGTCTACGTGAAGCTGCTCTCATGTGATCATGTGGCCGTCCTTACTGACAGAGTGCTGTCCTGCCCGTCTCTTGCAGGCTGTGAGCCCTGTGCAGGGTGATGATGAGCAGTCAGGGCGGCAGCAGCAGCAGCAGCAGCAGGGCAGGTGGGCAGCATGCGGACACGCCTCCCCCTCGCCACGCCCCCGGACCCAAGCTGCAGGTGCAGCGCTCGCTGTCCCGCGACACCATCACCATTCACTTCTCTGCTCTGGGGAAGGAGGAGGACGATGAGGAGGAGGAGCTCTACGGGGTGCCCGTTGGATCTGCTGCAGCTACGTTGGTCCTGGACGGTGCGGGGGGGCTTCAAGGTGCAGCGGCTGATGACCAGAGCGTGGCCACGGGCCTGGAGGCCAGAGAGGAGCTGCTGTTTGAGGCCGTCGGTGTGGAGGTCTCCTCTGGAGCCGCTGTGCTCCCCGTTTCATCCACCACCTTGTCGGCGCAGCCCTCGGACCCTCACCCACACACACCCTCACCTGCCATGACTATTGTCTCCACCTCCACCCCCTCCCACCTGAGCTCCACCCCTCCTGCCAGCTCCTCCTGGCCCTCTGACAGACCCTCGGCCACTCCGCCATCTACAAGCTCCAGCTCCTCTTCCCCTTGCAAGTCTGCAGCGCTGTCGTCCTCCAAGCCTTTCCTCAGCCTGGTCAGGTCTTTGTCCAACGAGGTTGAGTCTCGAGAAGCTGCTCCTGCGCTCTCCACCGTCGCACCAGCGCACGCACGCCACCGACACTTAATGAAATCTTTTGTTAAGTCTCTGTCCACGGACACCTCCAAGGCCGAACATCAGGAAGGGCCTCTCCATCCGTATCTTCAGCAGCAGCAGCAAGTTCAACCGTCCCATCGGCCTCCACCTCGCAACATGCAGCTCTTCAAACAGTTCTCCCAACCCCGTTTGTCCTCCAGTCCGGTCATCGTCACTCAGGCAGGTGGAGACTCCAAAACTGCACCTTCCTCCCCCATCATGTCGCCAGACGGTAGGTCCTTCTTCAAAGTCCAAGAGGTGGAGGCCAAGATTGAAGATACCAAGCGGCGGCTGTCGGAGGTGATGTCGGATCCCTTGCAGCTGTTTAGTAAGATCATGGGGGAGGAGTCTGGTGTGGGAGCTGCTGTAAGTGTGACTCATCGCACCAAATCGCTGTCCTCCAGCGCATCGGAGCTCAGCGCGGTGACGGCGGTGAACGGACACGCAGAAGGCAGCAACAAGTACAGCATCAAGGAAGAGGGGGCAGAAGGGGAAGAAGAAGAGGAAGAAACCCCAACAGGAAAAGGCCCCGACTCCGTTTTCTTCTCTTTCCCGTCCCTGGCACCAGCGCCGGCCCTCACCCAGGCCTCCTCCGCCCTCCTCCACAAGTCTCCCTCCCTCACCCTGGGCCGATGCTCCATGTCGGCCCTGGTGGCTCGGCAGGAGGACGAGGATTTCTGTGAGCTGTACAGCGAAGACTTTGAGATATGTACTGACACGGAGACACCAGACGGGGATCGCTCCGGGTCCCGGCAGCCCCATACTGGTAGCACTGGTTTGTGCAGCGAGCTGGACACGGAGGAGGAGGAGAAAGCAGAGGTGGAGGTCCAGACTGTGCCTGTGACTGGCCTCATCTGCTTGACTCAGTTGGTGTACTGGTACCTGGTCCTTCCGGTGCCGCCCGCCGTGTGCGCGGTGGTGCATGGGGTCGTGGCGGGGTTCATGTTGGCCCTGCTGGTGCTTTGGCTGTCTTCACCTCGACGCTCCTCATCGGGGACCAGAGCAGAACCCTGGAATGTGGCCCAGCTGGATATCAAGGAACCAGGAATATTCAAGGTGAGAGACAGCACAGAATGATCTGCCTTTGTGATGTTTTCTCTGTTGGCTCTTGTCCTCAGTGGCTCCAGGAGTACCATTAAGATCTTTCTGCACGTTTAAGCTACATGCAGGTTTCTTAAGCCCCTTCTGGTAATCTGACGGCATCTGAGTGGGTCCGCTTCATGTGTAAATGTGCACACTGGTCACTTTTCCAGCAGTCGGACTCGCTAACGTTTCCGTGTCCTACCAACATGGCACAAGTTCCTACTGCATACACTATAGACACACTTTGCATCCAAAACCTCATCTGTTCCAAGCAGAAACGTCCAAAACTTGACTGTGATGACGGTCGGATTAGTGAGACTCACCAAAAACAAATCTAATCCAGGTTTTCACAAAGTCTTTCCTCGGAGTAGCTTCCTGCATCTGAAGCTAAAGAGTTGTTCACATTTACACACATGGCACTTCAGAAGAAACTTCATTAGTTACACATGATTAGGAATGCTCCCCAACATGGAGTCACACTGTGAGCTTTTCTTCACATCAGAAAGGTGAGCTGTCACACCGTCTATCAGCCACACTCACATTATGTGCCACACAGCAGCTTTACATTCAGTCTCGTCTTTGTTGTTATTATGCATTATGTCACTTGATGAACTGTCCGAGCTCACCTGTAGGACAAATATCACCTGAAGCTCTCCATCTCTGTAGCAGGTTTGTCTGAAGGAACACGAACATAAAAGCGACTCGGTCTCAGGACCAGAATGCTGTCACTGCTGAAGCTGCAGGGTTTCGCTCACAGGAAAGACTTTCAGTAAAGATAACATCACACATGAAGATAATAGCATCAGTGTAATATATGATGACTGAATAGAAAAAGCATCCTCACAGAGGATGTGAAACTGTGCACTGAATGAAAAATGTCTCTTTTTTTGTTGATTTAAGCTGAGCTGCAGTAGGACGGCTTGTTGTCCCTCCAGAGCTTCTACAGTCTGTCATTTGAACATCTTCTCACACGAGCCAAGCACCGAAATTTCCCCTGTTGTTTCAATTGAATTGGTTTTGCTGACCGAGTGTCCTCTGGGACTGATAAGGTGGGAGTTTGGATGAGATCTGCTCTCCATGCAGCCTCGTGGGGAACCGTGAGGTTATACTGCACCTTTTCTCCAGTCATGGCTCCAGTTTAGCTTTTAATAAGAGCGCTGCCACGTCTACTCCTTGTTCTCCGGTATTCAGCGCCGTAGAAACGAGCAGAGAAACGTTCAGGGTTATGTGAGCCGTAGTGGTTCCCAAGCTGTTGCACCGGAGAAGCTTCTGGCTGGAGGGCTCAGCTGTTCCAAAAGACGAGCTCTGAGGTAGAACGTGATCCTCACAAAAGAAGCTCACGATCACATGGAAGCAGCAGTTTCATGTCTTCATTCTCTTCATCTTCTTTGAGAACCAACAGATGAAGTTTTGTTGTATAAACTCTGCACCCAGAGAGAGAACTGTGTTTTTAAATTAACATAATGATTCCAGATAATACAGAAAGAGGCCATTGTGATGTTAACTTAGCATTGGCTGAATATAACGAGCATTTGGCACCTTCACGGCCTGAAGGATAAAAGCATGTCCAGCTAGAGCGGCCTTTGTTGCATCTAATAGAAATAAACATTTGCAGTAATTCAAAAGCTATGTCATCATAGAGTGATCATAAGTTTAACTTTCAAGTATAAAATATTTTTATTAATATTTTTAGTGTTTTTTTTTTTTAATATTTGATTGCTTTTATTGTTACAGGCCTCAGAAGATCACTATCAGTGTATTCACTGAAGCAAAAAGAGGTTCAGTTTACGACCGTCTACCTCCCAGAAATTCACTTTTGACCTGAATCAATTTGAAGAACACGTTCTGTCCTCAGATATCATACATTCAGTCGTGAGCAAAAGTTTCCATCCGCTTGTAAAGACCTGGTAGATCCTGGAAGTCTTGAGTTTCCGGTGAGTCCTATGAACGACCCAAAATGCATGATTGTCTGTGACAAGGACTCGAGTTACAGGAATCACTGGACACTCTAGACTGACGTGATGTACAGTCGTCCTCAGGTGTGTTCCAGGTGGCCTCCCATTAAAGAAGGAAAGAACTGCTTCAGTCACTGAAATAAGTTGAAACTGACAAAAGTA